CTCTCTCCAAACCAACGACTTTACCACTGCTGTAATCTCTCCTCAGATCACTGAGTAACAAAATTCACCTTTCTAACTCTGGTCTCCATTGGCCCAATATGTCTTCTGTGCACATCTACAACTGCTCACATTATCTTGCAGAAGCACAAATGTGGATGTGCAACTCCCCACATTTAAAAATATACAATGACTTACCATTGTTCATTGGGGAATTAAATGCATGGCCTGTCACAATTAAGCTTCAAACCACTAAATCAACTATTATTCCTCACCATGCACGTTATCCTCCAACCACACTGAATTTTCCTGTTTTCCAAAGACATCCTGTTCTTTTATACCTCTGTGCTTTTGTATATGCTGTTTCCTCTGCCTGTAAATGCCTAAATTTCCCTAATTCTCCTAGATAGAATTTATTATTTACTTCTCTGTGATCTCATAGAACTTTATGAATAAATGAAATTGCATCATAGTATAGTATTTGTTTAAAAGTTAGTCTTTACAATTAATATGGGAGTTCCTCAAAGGAAAGGACTAGCAGATTTTTATGGTTTTTCCCAACCCCGTCATTTAGCCTAAAGCTTCATACCTAGTAGTTACTCAAAAAAATCTCTTGAATTAAATGGGGTAAAAATAAAGTGAAACTAACATTCCTTGTATACCAACTTCTAACCTCACTCTACCACAGTACAGAGAGCATAGAGCAAGGTCATGGAGATTATAGGTAAACAGGGCTGGCCAGCTGTGATGATTTAACCTCCATACCTGATGCCCTGAGGTATAAAAGAAAACACGGAGAACCCAGGAAATCCATCCGCCTCCAACTTAATTTGAGATGACTTATTAATTCGCTGGTCTTTTATCTTGAAAAATAATAGGTTAGCTCATAGAGATCCACTCATAAACCCACAGATGCCTCTATTAAGATTACTCACGTTTACAGTATTTCTGGGCATCTGACCACTTGGAGGTCTCTAGGCAGGTGGTAAAGAATGACCTCTTGAAATACCCAGGAAGACATTCATATTCCCAAGTTGTCCCAACAGCAAACTCAGACTGATCACTCAGAATTTTAGGCTTAGCAAAAGGATACTTTGGCAGGAACTTACACTGACCTAGAGACAAAGACCACAGGAATATCAAAAGTAAGAGAGGCTAAAACTTCTACTCTACTTCTGTTTTGTCATCAATTACCATATAACTTGTAGCATGGGTGCATGTACAGAGAAATAAGCTCAGAAATCCAGATTTTTTAGGATAGACTTCAGAGGAAGAGCTGAAAACAAATCACTTTTCATTGAAGTCCATAAAGACCTTAGAGCTGTTCCATTTTTTTAAAACCTCATAAATAAAAACTAAAGCCTTATACAACTTTTCTGGATGGAAATAAAGTACATCAGGGACCTTATAAGCTCAGTACATATATGATCTCCTAAAATTACTTTAATGAAAAACATTACAGTAAATCCCCGAACTTACGAATGAGTTCCATTCTGGGAGAACATTTGTAAGTCGGATTCGTTCATAAGTCCGACTTGTTTGTAAGTCCGACAAAGTGAGTCTTATACACCTTTGACACAAATATACAATGTAAAGCATAAAAAAAACTAAACACACAAAATGTGCCAATGGTTGAACGATTCATGTTATAAGACTGAGCGATGTCTACCATCTTTTCACCTTGATCCAATCTCTGAATTATTTTCTCTTTTGTTTCCATGGTTATTGCTCTGCGCTTCCTAGCAGTCCCCTCCACATCACCACTGCTTTTCCTCTTGCTTCCGGACATCCTGGGCTCGGATTGAGTACTGTACACTATTGCACTGTATAGTAAGCACACAGCAGCACAACTGTGACAATGTCCAGCAGACACGTGAGCTACTTCAGTGATTTGTTCACATCTACGAATGTTCGTAATGCAAGGTCCATTCGTATCTGTGAAAGTTTGCAACTCAAATGTTCATAACTTGGGGACTTCTGTACTATCTTAGGCATGGTTTAGACTCTAGCAATAAGAAAATATGCTTATTTATTATTCTTCATTATTGTATTCCATTAACCTAATAGAGTAATATGCCTAAGAGAACTTAGAGAATACATTCTGATGGGTACCAAATAAAAGGAACTACTTATTTAAAGACAGTTCCCAGTGTCTTCAAATAATAATAATAATAATAATAATAAAACAAATTTTATCCCAGGAGATGGATGAGAAACTGTAACACCCAAATTTTTGAAGATATATCCGGAAAAGTCATTTTTCTAGGTATGAAAGAGAGCTCAAGTTTTAACTCCAGAATGGCAGTATATTTGAATATCAAATTTATAAATCTCTTCCTTTTTCATACAAGCCTGAAACAGGAACAGGTGAAAGTCAAAGGACACACATGATCTAACTGACACAGGCAAACACAGAGCTCCCAAGGTTGTAGCCAGATCCAGCCTTTCTGTCGCCCAGCACATCTGTTGGAGAAGTCATATAGACTGGATCTAAGAATAGTCATCACTTTTGGGGACCCAGATCTCACTGTAGACCTCCCATTTCTTATCTAAGCTCCTTTGGTTTCCTCCATTAACATCTACAAATGTCTCCAAGTGCATACCTATTCAAAACAGCATGGCTGTATAGGGAAAGTTAGGGTTTGACCTCAAATCAATGAAGACCAATTCATGACTCTGATATTACTTGTGGCAATTCACCTTAAGCAAGTGATTTAACCAGCAAATATCCAGCGTGAATAAAGACAATACCAAATGATTCTCCAGAAGCTAGAAAACCAGTTTAAATCCTCAAGAATTAATCAGCAGCAGTGGACTAAGATGGAACCAAGATCTTGAAGCAGCAAAAGCAGAAAGGTACTTTATAATATGAACTTCTGAGGTGAAAGGAGGTAAGAATCACATTTATTGGATAAGAAATAATGGGAAATTCTAATCTCCAATAAGGAGAGCTGGGGACTCTCTCTCCTTTTAGGGATGTTAGCTCTAATTAGGATTCAAATTGCTAAAACACCAGGTCACAAGACAGAATTTCCAGCAATCATGTTCTCTTCCATATCAAAAAAGGAAAGGCTAGTGAATGAATCATTAGGTAATATGAATTTTCTTAAGGGTTACTGCACCCTATTCATATATTTCTAAAATCAGAAATAAAAACCCAGAGTAGATCATGACTAGGCCTGAAATAGAAGATAGTGGCAAGACATTGACATATAAATCCCTCAAACCATGATAAAAACCAGTGAGACCAACCAGTTTCTAGAGAACAGGGTTATATTTAGCTCTCCATTTAGCCTTACCTAGGATGGCTTAGAGATCCATTTGAATGAATGAAGAACAAATATATAGTATAATAAAAATAAAAATAAAATTTAGGTCAGAAAGCAGTTAGGAGGAGGAATTATTACTAAGAATGAGAATTATTATAATCAAATGCCTTAACACTGTGTTTCCTGGTCATTTGACCATTTTTGAATGACAGTTATGCATGTTAACCAACATGCTCTCTTAAACACAGAAGATGCATCAGTGAACATTAGAGACAAGGTTCCCACCCCCATGAAATTTATATTCCAACAGAGGGAGACAGATCATTAATAGATACAAATAAATAAATAGATGGCATGTAAAGGACATAAACAATGATGTGTCAAATGTAACTCACTGGAAGAGGGGACAGGATGGCATACCACTTCCCTGTGATGGTTAAGGGAGGCCTCTGAAGAGGAGACACTGAATTGTGATGGAAGGATAAGAAGAAGCCAGCCAGGCAAAGCACCAGACAAAAGCATTTTAGGCAGAGGCCTAACAGCAGAGATGTGTTTGCTATGCTTTAGGGATAGATAGAAGGCAAGTGTGACTGGAACGCAGTGGTCAAAACGGAGTGGGATGAGATCCTTCCAATGACTTCCACTCAGGAAAACATGCAGATACCTTATTACTGAGGTATCTGCAGGATACCTCAGTATACTTACTACCTGAGTGATTTGGTTGATGGTAACACCAAGTACTAAGATGGGAAAACCTGGGAAAGGAATAGTTTTTGTTTTGGGGGTGTGTGTGTTGTATGGTGTTGTAGGAACAGGATCGGTTCCGCTTTAGACTTGGTATATTTAACACACTTACTGTGCCTCCAGATGGAGATGCCAGGTAGGCAGTTGGATGTACAAATTTGCTACTCAGGAGATAGATCAGGACTATAGATAATAAGTATAAGTCATTAACACGTAAGTAATATGAGTATTTAAAGCCATGAGACTGGATGAGATCTCTTAGGAAGAAGGCATTGAGAAAAACAGAATAGGCTCAATGTTGAGCCCCCAAACTCTCTAATATTTAGAGACAGGGCAAAAGGGTCTTAGAGCAAACAGAGACGTACAGAAAAAAATAGGTAATAAGAGTGTTCTGTCTTGGAAAATGAGAATGAAACTGTTTCAGGAGGGTGGAAGTATTCAGCTTTTGCTGAAAGACGGAGGAAGATAAAGACAGAAAAATGACCACTGTAGTCGTCAGCCTGAAGGTCAGTAGTGAGAATAGTGGGAAAACAAGCCTGTCTGGAGTGGGTTAAGGAGATAAAGAAATGTGAGCAAGTAGTTGATGAGAATTTTTGCTGAGGATGAGAAGAGGGACAGAAAAATGCAGTTCCATTGGGTCATGAGAAGTCCCCTTTCCTTAACAAAGGATGTCCTGGAGCATATTTAGTTGCTCGTGGGGATGATCCAACAAGTGATATAAATGCAATGATGCAAGATGGGACATCTGCAGAAGTCAAGTCCTTGCGAATGCAAGAGGGGAGGGAATGTGATCAAGAATACAAAGAGAGGAGTTGACCTTGGTCAGCAGGAAGGATAGAGTTTTTCCATTGTTACAGGAGGGAAAGAACATTCTTATGGAACTCCTAGTTACATGCTCATGCTAGGATTCATCAGGCAACAAGACAGATAAACGTCTTGCTCTCCTGGAACTTATATTCCAGTGAGGGATCAAATGCAAACAAGCAAATAAACAAGAAGGTTTCCTATGATAGTCGGTGCTCTTAGGAAACTAGAACATGATTATGTGATGGAGAGTGACCTCGGGTCCAACGGCTTCAGATAAGAGAGAAGAGCCCAGGTAGAGTTGAGACCTGAATTCCCAAAAGGAGACAGGCAAGGGATTATCTGTAGAAGAGCATTTCCATAAAGGGAATACCTAGTGCAAAGTCTAAACAAATGTGAGTATGTTCAATGGAAAGAAAGCCAGTGTGGCTGGAGCAGAGGGAAAGAGGGCAGTAGGACAGGGAATTTCAGAGAGGCGAAGGCCTGTAGTGAAGGATAAGGGCATGGATTTTGTTTTTGTCTTAATGTGATGGGAAGCCCTTAGCAGGTTTTAAGCAGGAGAGAAAAAAGATGTGTTCTCAGGTGGAGGTAGATAATTAGAAAACAAGGGAATTCCTATTTGATGATTTTGGCAAGAGTGGAATTTAACAGTGCAGGAAATTTGAATCCCTTTATACAAATAGACAAAAGGAAGAAGTGGGGAAATACTCTACGTTGGAAATGTGCTTCCCATATGATCATGCTCATAGCAGTCTGCCCTATAGACACTTGCTTCAGAATCTTCCAGTGTTCTTGTTAAACTTCAGCTTCCAGGGCCATAGCCCAAACCTGTGAATCTCTGGAGGGTGAGATGGGACCCAGGAACCTACATTTAAAAATGCACCTGAAGAGTTTCTTAAGCATACTTAAGGGCAGAAACTAGCCAAGAGCCTTAGGATAGTTTGGGGAGGGTACACAGTAAGAGCAAAATTCAGGATGGGGGTCACAGGCAAAATATGAGCAAAGAACCATGGAAGGATATGAGAAATGGTGGGCAGTGCATTCATGATAGGAAGCAATGGGGAATCCGTAGGGCCATGCTTAGGTGAGATTCAATTACAAAGGGCTTGAAAGGCTGAAGACATTTGATTTTTTTTTTTAATCTCACAGGCAGTAGGAAACCCTTTTAGATTTTTTGAGCAAGGGAGTGAAATAATGAAAAAAATATATAGTTTTAAAATTTTGGTTCTCATCATTGGAAAGGGGAAAGACTGGTATCGGAGTGACCTGTAGGAGAGGAGGCTGTCAAACAGGTAATTATAGTGCTTAGGTTTAAAATATTGGTGTAAGAATGATAATACAAACAGAAGCACATTAGCTCTAACAGTTGGCAAATATTGGGTTGTCGGTAAAGTCATGATGCATTTTTGCAACGAAAAACATAGAAAAAATACGTCATGATTTTTCCGACAACCCAATAGGTAGACCTGGTCTTTCATGTGTCTGTAGTTAAGTGACCTAGAGGCTGGCCCTGCTCTGGTACCAGAAGGAGATGGTCTGGCATACTTGGAGGTGATGATGGATTGGCAGACTTGGTGAAGAATTTGATTTTCAACTGATAATAGCCCCTCTGAAATTTAGAAATAGGAATGCAAGGCTGGTGAAAAGTCAGGTCTGGAATTATGCCATGCAGAAGTGTTAGAGAAAGTTCTGAATGTGCATTTGTTCAAAAGGAGTTAACACCAGGAGAGAGAGAAAGATGAAGATAATGGTTTGGAGAAATGTCCAATTAAGGGTCAGGAGAAAGTTCAATGTCAGGAAGCAGACAAAATAAGTTGTAATAGAACCAATGTGTGCAGTTTCCCTTAACCAGCTGGGGGTGGTTGAGTTTAAATGCTGGCTCCATAAAATCAGGCCCCTACAGCTGGTCTTATTACTGATAAGTAGTATCATCTAACTCTCATTTGCCAATTCCATCTACCATTCAGGGCAGCTCAGTAGGGTGGTAGGGCAGTTTATCACTAGCTTCATTTCACAAATGACTTGCCAAAAGTCACACAGTTATTGAGGTCTGCATATAGTTAACGTCTTAATAAACTAGGAATTCACCGTACCCTGGAGGTAATTAAAAAGTTAGACCTATCTTAATACCAGGAGACTCTAATCATAATAAATTACAATATTTACTTAAAATTACCCCAACCTGGGAGAAAATAAGTTATAATAAACATCGAATGAGACCTTCTGAAGTCCTCACCATTACAGGTGGTTAATAACATAAAGACAACTGGAATTATAATTCACTTAACTTTTCTAAATAACTCCAGGAGTTTATCATTTAGGATGTCTTTACCAACACCATATATGTGTGTGTGTATATATATACATATATATATATATATACACACACACATATATAGTGCTTGGGATCAGGCATTATTCTTTTCTTTTATTAGTTTCAGGTGTACAAAACAGTGTAATAGACGTTTACACCCTTCACAAAGTGCTAATCCCCCCACCCCCAATGTACTACCCCTCTGACATCATATATAGCTGTTAACAATTCCATTGAATTTATCCCCTATGTGTACTTCACATCCTGTGACTATATATATATATATATGTATGTATATATATATATAAATATATATATATACATATATATATTTATATATATAAAAATTATAGTTGACATCTATTATTATTCAGCTTCGGGTGTACACTGCATTGGTCAGGCATCTACAACGTCCATGAAGTGGTCTTCCTAATAAGACAAGTGTCAATCGGATACCCTACAAAATCTTTACAACATTATTGATTATATTCCCCAAACTGTCTTTTGTATCCCTGTGGCAATTTTGTGGTTACCAATTTGTGCTTTCTAATCCCCTCACCTTCTCCCTCATCCCCACCTCCCCCTCCCATCTAGCAACCCTCAGTTTGTTCTCTATATCTCTGAGACTGTTTCTGATTAGTTCATTTATTCTAGGTATTCTTTAGATCCCACATATAAGTGAGACCCTATGGCATTTGTCTTTCTCTGTCTGACTAATTTCAGACATTATTCTTAATCAGGGAAGGCAGTGGGGGGGATCTGCTGCTCTTACTGGGCAAGAATGAGTTCAGAGGATGCAGAAACTCCAGCGCCTAGTGGAGAGTGCTGTGGACTTTCTGCTGCACATCAAGGATAGGTTTTGGTTATGTGGCCATCAGTAGCGCTAGGAGACCTCTGGGGGCGAGAGCCAGGAGCACCTGGTGAGACCCAGGCGCAGAGATAGACCCCAGAGAGCACAGACCTAGCACACCACCTGTCACACCGGGTAGACCATACAGTGCCCACTCTGTGGTGCAGCCCTCAGTTCTTGGTGATTCCAGCCTGGGGAGGCGCAAGTGAGGACGTTCAAGACCAAGAGATTGCGGGGGGGGGGTGTTCCCCAAAGCAAGCTGTAGGTAGGCAAGCATCCGACACAGCCCCCACCTTCTCGCTTTTGACTGTGCTTTGCATCGCAGCACAGAGGCCATCCCTGCCCCCAGACGCGTCCCTACCTTCGTGCTTCCTCTCCAGCTCACCGAGGACCCCTGGAGTGATGATAGCCAAGAAAACCCAGAGCAGGACTGTGGCGCCCATGCCACAGCCCCAGCGGCGGGATGAGTTCCGAGACCCGCGAGCTCCCAGCAGCTCTGGTAGGGCAGGGCTGGTGCAGGAGGCAGCGGCAAACAAGGGAGCGCGAGCCCTTAAATAGCGTCTGGCACCACGTGCTAGCTTTCCGGGCACACCTGCGGGCTGTCTGGGGGCGGGACGCCCACGCGGGTAAGGGTGGCCCAGGCGGCGAAGGTGGGGCGGGGAGAGAAATTCTGATCCAGTCATTGGCTCAAACTCTAGCCCTCAGTGTATTGGCTTTCCAGCTTTTTGACCATGCAACTCAGTGCATCCATTTCTGCCTCTCTGGAGTACTGAAACAAGTTTCACAAAATAGTAATAACCCTTACTTGTCTGTGATGATCTAGTCTCCCCTCGCCTCTCCTCTCCCTTGGATCCACTAAATTCATTTCAAAAGCTATTAATGATTCCAACCCTCAGCTTGAAAGAACAGTTTACTTAGAAAGGAAACTTATGAACAGCAGCAACTTCTGTTATGCCTTTTATATTTTGAAATAAATTCTATCTATCTATCTATCTATCTATCTATCTATCTATCTATATGGAGAGAGAGATAATTATGTAATTATATAATTATTACTTTGGAACTGTTTAAGTTACAGACATGGTACTCCTCCTTTTATTACTTCAGTGGGTATTTTCTAAAAACAAGAACATTCTCTTCCATAACTACAGTGCAGTGAGCAAAAACAGGAAATTAATATCATTAATATCAATACAATACTATTATCTAAGTGACAGACTATACTCAAATTTCTCCAATCATCTCAGTAATCTTCATTATAGCAAATACACACACACACACACACACACACACACACACACTTTTTTTTTCCTAGTCCAAGATGATTCTAAGATCACACATTGCATTTAATGTGTCTTTTTTTTTTCTCAGTTAATCTGAAAACGGTCTTCAGTCTTTTATTATTTTTTTGGTCTTCATGACCTTGATATGTTTGAAGAGTACACAACAATTATTTTGGTAGAATGACATTTAAATTAGTTATCTGTTGCATAGTAACAAATTATTGTACAATTATTTATTTAAAGCAAGATAATCATTTATTACCTCACAGTTTCTGTGTGTCAGGAATTCAAGAGCAGCTTAGCTAGGTGGTTTTGGCTTGAGATCCCTCATGAGGTTGCAATCAAGAAATCAGCCAGACCTGTAGTCACCCTAAGGCTTGGCTGGGACTGGCGGGTCCATGTCTAGGATGACTCACTCACATGGCTGTTAGCTGGAGGCATCATATCCTCACCATGTGGATCTCATCACAGGACTATTTGAGTGTCCTTGTGACTTTGTAGCTGGTTCTGGTTCTTCTCCCAGAGCAAGAGAGAAAGGCAAAAGCCACAATGTGCTTTATAATCTACCCTCAGAAGTCACACTGTGTAATTCTCACATTATCTATCGGATACTACAATCATTAATTTTATGTGCCGGCATGACTGGGCTATAGAGTGCCCAGATATATAGTCAAACATTATTCTGAGTCTTTCAGTAAGGATGCTTATGGATGAGATTAACACTTTTCATAGTGGTAACTGATATCTTTATTTTTATTCTTTCCATTTTGTTTTTCCCAGTTTTGTTGAGATATAATTGACATACAATGTTGTATTAGTTATGGTGTGCAGCATAATGATTTGATATATGTATACATTGTGAAATAATTACCATAGTAAGCTTAGTTAACTACCATCATCTACATAGTTATCATTTTTTTCTTATGATGAGAACTTTTAAGATCTATTCTCTTAGTAACTTTCAAATATCTAGTATAGCATTGTTAACTATAGTCACCATGCTGTATATACAGATCCAAAATGTATTTACTTTATAACAGGAAGTTTTGCGTTTTGACTGTCCCCACCATTTTCTCCACTCCCTGCCCTCCACTTCTGGCATCCACCAATATGCTCTCTGTTTCTATGAGTTCAGTTTTGTTAGATTCCGCATGTAAGTGAGATCATACATTGTTTGTCTTTCTCAGTCTGACTTGTATCACTTAGCATAATGCCCAGTATCTATCTATGTTGTTACAAATGGCAAGATTTCATTCCTTTTAATAGCTGAATATTATTCCATTGTGTGTGTGTGTGTGTGCATATGTGTATCATAGTGTATCATAACTTCTTTATGCATTTATCCATCTCTTCAAGATAGTGATTTCTTTTCCTTCAGACATATATCCAGAAGTGGAATTGCTGGATTACATGATATCTCTATTTTTATTTTTATTTTTTGTGGTTGATGTTTGCATGCTAACATTTTTCAATTTTAAAAAACTTTCCATACTTTATCTATATTTTGAAATGAATGTATGTCTCCTGCAAAGAGAATATAGTTCTTGTTTTTCATGCATTCAGAAAACATGTGTATTTTGATTGGACTGGTTAATCTGGTAAACATTTAATGCTATTTTTCATGTATTTGGATTTATGTCTTCAATTTTTATTTCTTATTTTCCTTTTTTTTTGAGGAATTACCATACTGATTTCCATAGTGGCTGAACCAATTTACATACCCACCAGCATACTATAAGGGTTCACTTTTATCCACATCCTCTCCAACACTTGTTACTTGTTTTTTTTTTTTTTTTATGATAGCCAGTCTAACAAGTGTGAGGTATCTCATTGTGGTTTTGATTTGCATTTCCCTGATGATAAGTGATACTGAACACCTTTTTGTGTTTACTGTGCAGAAGCATTTTATTAATAGTTTGATGTAGTCACAATTGTTTATTTTTGCTTATGTTGCCTTTGCTTTTGGTGTCAAATCCAAAATATAATTGCTAAGACCAATGTCAGGGAGATTAACTGCTATGTTTTCCTTTAGGAGTTTTATGGTTTCAGGTCTTGTGTTCAATTCTTTAATCCACTTTTGGTTGATTTTTGTGTACAGTGTAAGATGATAGAAGTAGTTTCATTCTTTTACTTGTGGCTGTCAAGTTTGACCGACACCATTTATTGAAGAGACTATCTTCATAGTCCCATTGTACATTTTTGGCTCCTTTGTCATAAATAAATTGACCATATATGTGTGGATGTATTTCTGGATGCTCTATTCTGTTCCATTGATTTATTTGCCTGTTTTTATGCAAATACCATACTGTTTTGACTTTTATAGCTTTATAATATAGTTTGAAATCAGGATGTATGATGACTTCAGCTTTGTTCTTTCTCAAGATTGCTTGGCTACTTGGGGTCTTTTGTGGTTCCACACAAATTTTAGGATTTTTTTTCCCTATTTATGTGAAAAATATCATTAGAATTTTGATAGGGATTGCATTGGATCTGTAGATTGCTTTGGGTACTATGGATGTTATAACAATATTAATTCTTCCAAGACATGAGCACAGAATATCTTTTCATTTGTGTCTTCTTCAATTACATCAGTGTCTTAGAGTTTTTAGTGTATAGATCTTTTACTTCTTGGTTAAAATATTTCCTTTTATTCTTTCTTCATGCAATTTTAAATAGTATTGTTTTCTTAATTTCTCTTTTTGATGTTTCATTGTTAATGTATAGAAATATAATAGATTTTTGTATATTGATCTTGTATCCTGAAAGTTTACTGACTTTATTAGTTCTTACAGTTTTTGGTGGAGCCTTTAGTGTTTCTCTATATAATAGCATGTCATCTTCAAATAGAGACAGTTTTACTTCTTCTTTTCTGACTTGAATGCCTCTTATCTCCTTTTCTTGACTGATTTGAACGCCCTTTTTTTTTTGGGGGGACTAATCACTGGCTTGGACTCCCAGTACTATTTTGAATAAAGTGGTGAGAGTGGTCGTCCTTGTCTCTTGCTCCTGATCGTAAAGGTTAAGATTTCAGCTTTGCATGATTGAGTATGATGTTACCTGTATGCTTGTTATATATGACCTTTATTATATTGAGGTACATTCCCTCTCTGTCCAATTTGTTTAGTTTTTATCATGAATGGGTGTTGAATTTTGTCACATGTTGTTTCCACATCTATTGAGATGATCATATGGTTTTTATCCATCATTTTGTTAATACAGTATGCTGTATCACATTGACTGATTTTTGGGTGTTGAACCATCCTTGCATCCCTAAAATAAATCTCACTTATTCATGGTATATGATCCTTTTAATGTGTTGAATTTGATTTGCTAATATTTTATTAAGTGTTTTTGCATTTATGTTGATGGGGGATGATGGCCAGTAATGGTCTTTTCTTTCAGTGTCCTTCTCTGGTTTTGCTATGAGAGTAATGCTGGCCTTGTTCAATGAGTTTGGAAGAGTTTGAAAAGGATTTGTATTAGTTCTTTTTTAAATGATTGGTAGAATTAACCAGTGAAGCCATGTGATCCTGGACTTTTCTAGGTTGGGAAGTTTTTGATTATCAATTCAATATCCTTACTAGTAATTGGTCTGTTTAGATTTTCTTTTCTTCTTCATTCAATATTGGTAGGTTGTACATTTCTAGGAATTTATCCATTTCTTTTAGATTGTCCAAATTTTTTGGTATATTATTGCTCATGGTGGTCTCTTATGATCCTTTGTATTTATGTGGTATCAGTTATAATGTACCATCTTTCATTTATAATTTTATTTATTTGAATTCTTTTTTTCTTGGTAAATCTAGGTAAGGTTTGTCAATTTTGTTTATCTTTTAAACAAGCCAGCTCTTAGTTTTGTTGACATTTTCATCTTTAGTCTCCAACTTTTATTTCTGCTCTGATCTTTATTTCCTTTCTTATGCTAACTGAGCTTTTTTGTCTTTTTCAAGTTTCTTGAGGTGTAAAGTTAGGTTGTTTGAGTTTTGTTGTTTTTTTCTTGATGTAGACATTTATCACTATGAACTTCCCTTCAGAATTGCCTTTGGTTTTGGTATGTGGTATTTCCATTTACATTTGTCTCAAGATTTTTTTTTTTTATTTCTTGTTTGTTTTTTACCCATTGGTTGTTCAGTGGCTTGTTGATTAATCTCTACATATCTATAAAATTTTCAGTTTTTCTTCCTGTAATTGATTTCTAGTTCATACCATTGTGGTCAGAAAAGATGTTTGATATGGTTTTAATCTTCTTAAATTTGTTA